AAATCGCGCTCGGCTACCGGGATGGAAACCTGTGGATAACCGGAATCAATGGTTAGAGACGCTCAGTGATATGGCTAACTGTCCTGAATAGTGACGCTCGTGCATCTACTCATTATCTTTGAACCTTAGTCAACCGGAGTTCTTTATTCTTTCACAGACATTGCTTTCAGTTTTCCAATTTTCCTTCTCCCCTTCATCCAAACGGGCAGCAAAAAGACAGTAACCGAAACTGGCACACACATAGGCATGGTTACTGGTTGTGCAAACCGAACATTTAGGAAGATAGTCTGCGTATTGCATACGGCGTACCGATCAGATGGTGTTTTACTTTACAGAACAAAATATACAGCCAACTTAACGTATCCTACTGAGGTTACCCTGATAAACTTCACAAAAATCAAGTGCTGGTGATTCACATAAGTCCATCAACATTATGGTTAAGTATGTGTCGTCGGCGAGCTTTATAGATCAACGAGAAACATAATTATCAATTCGAAAACAGTGTTGCAATGATGAAAATACGAGTAACTCTTCCGGTAAAAATTGAAGCAAATTAACTTCAAGCAATAAATAATACAAAAACAATCTATCGAATACAGAACTTTGACTCACATCCGGCAGTGAGTTGATAAAGTCGTGCACGTTGGCTTGTCGAGCTGCTTCAATGATCTCATCCATCGGTACTTCACGTGTATTATCCCCGTAAGCGATGTTCTCTCTCAAAGTAATGTCGAGCAGATTGGGCTCTTGTGACACAATACCGATTTGTCGTCGGATCCATCGGGGTGCCAGATCACGCAAATTCCACTCGTCAAAGAAAACCCCACTCTCCGGTCCGTGGTTTGACGGATCATAGAATCTTTGTACCAGTTGCAATAATGTGGACTTGCCACAACCAGACTGACCGACTAGAGCCACTGTTTGACCGGGCTGAACTGTATGACTGAAATTCTAAAAAAAGGATTGACTGAAATAAGTTGGTGAACTGAGAGCTGACCCAGAGAGAATCGAAACAGATTGCTCACATTTTAGAACCACAGCGATGTTTCGTAAATAACTTGATGATGAAATAGATTTATCAAACTTAATCAAATACCATTTAAGCAAAATAGATGGACGGTGGGGCTCACTTTGAGGATGCGTGCTTCAGGACGCGTCGGATAGCGGAAGTAAACCTTATTAAATGTTACTTTCCCTTCAAATTCCGTATTCGGCTCCAATCCTTGATCTGTTTGTATACGAGGAATTCGATCTAGTGTGGCAAAGATAGCTTTGCATGAAGTTGCAGCTTTTTTCGTATCCGGTGCCACTGAGGCAAGTCTCCCGAGTGCTTGAGCACTCATGTTCATTACTGCAAAAACTCTGCAAATAAAAAGTGCATGAAGCAGTCACAGTAGTGGCAATAATTTTTGTTTCGTGATTAACACTTTTGCTTTTGAAAGTGATTCGCTGATGAGCTCCCACGAGAAGCTAATATAGAGATGCCGGTCGCACTCATGCGTGGAACACACAACTGTGTTGAACAAAATGAAAGAGTTTCTTATTCAAGATTTGAATTAGGATGAGTTTTCTGATAACTGGAACTCAGACTCACCGGAGTTCAATGATCAACTTATTTTGGGGCACAATGCCTCTGGTGAGAAATCTACGGTTAGATCTGGTTACTCATTCTATTCTCTTTTGCCGATTTTCCCAGAATGACGGAAATGAAGGACGTTGCACTGTTTAATCTCTGATTTACGGATGAAAGATTTTCGTGCATCCTGTACAGGGGAGGGGAGCCTTTGGTTATGTATTTCATAAGGGGATTTTGTCTCACGAAAGATTGGGCAGAATAATATACTTCAGATGTAATATCATTGTTCAAAATGAAACATTGATGTCATATTATTTTCTGGGCGTTCATTTCAGTTTCAATTTACAAGCAATAATCATGTACTTGTGTGTGCTTGTTTTGGTTTCAGTCTTTCGAAATACGCATCACATGAGCTGAAACATTTAAACTACATGTATGTGGGTGGTCACTAACCTGAATATTGCTGGTGCTCCCAAAACTGCCTTCTCAACTAAATATGCACCCAATCCAAATACAGCGGCAAAAGCAAACATGGCCATCGACTGGGTCACGGCGTACATAAGAGCATCCACGAGACATGCCTTCACTACTTTTCTGAAAAGGTATGGTTTGGGATAAAACATTGAAACTCAATAAAACAGTTTATGTTGAAGTGAAAGTAAGTGAAAGACATTCAGATTTTTTTGTAAAATACTGCCTGAAACACGAAGCAGTTAAACAATGCATAAATACTTTGAGCGTCAAACTTAAATGATTTTGGTTATTTATTTTCGGAAAGTCATTTGATCAAATCCTGAAAATGAAACCAATGGAAAAATTGAAAGCTATGAGTGTCATCAAATAAAATAAATAAAACCTCTGGGATTTCATGAAAAGTAAGCAGACACAAGAGTTATTGAACACAACACTCCGTCGTATCATTGAAGGTCTTCAAACAATAATAATTCTCGTCTTGTTGCCTCCAACGAGGAAGCACACGGAACCAATGCGATCAAATGCCACAGTGAGAATTTCCTTATATTCAGGCCAGATCTTACGTTGAGCATTTTCGGTCTTCACAAAACCATCGCTTTTTCTCGCGAAATGTTGCACGCCGAAAAACCGTACCCGATGATGCGGGGGGGGGACATGCCATAATCAGCATAGTCTACAGTGATTAGTCACTTTTGATGGTGTATAAAGACCATTATCTAAAGCTCAACGCCAAATATCGATTTTGATTTGCCGACTACTTGATCATACTGACATGATGCATTGTAGACAGTGGTGACCGAACACCAGTTGAAATTATGTAGAATACACTGAACGTTTTACTGACAACCAAATATCATGACCGAGTGAAATATGAAGTTTTGTTATGTATGAAATCAACAAGCACCAGCTGAACCTTCTCCAAACATGCTGACCTTGCACCCAAGATTCTTTCGACAGGAAGGACGCAGCTCGTCAATTAAAAATGTTGATTTCTTTCTCCACTATTTAAGTGACGTGAGGGGCAGGATCAACTGGCCTGTATGACAACATTTTGTCAAGGTACGCTTATAGTCAGACGGTCTATAAAAGTTAGCCTAATTTTCAAGCGGGTTTCGTTTGCGGGGGATTGGAAATTGACAGAGTGAGAGGCAATCATAAAACTTTAAGGGCAACGTCAATCAAGGTAATCCTACAGCTGGTTTCTTTCTTTCTTGCAAATCTATGGTAGAATCGATTGATGACATTTTTCACGAACTTGTACAATACGGAATACAGGAATTTTGCTAAACCCACAGCTAACGTTTAGCGGCTCGGTAGAGCAGAGCTGAACACTACGGAGCTCGTCCCCAGGTGGCGAACATGGAAGCTATCGTCATTTCGGCAGTTCAACGTGGTTTAACCCACTTGAGAATAGGAGTATCCAGGTACGGTATGTGTTTTGTACCATTCGAGTGCATATTACTTGTTCAAAGCTGGCAAGATCCCATGCCTACACTCACCCTCCGAAGTGCTTAGACAGAGGTAGTTGAGAGCCTTGAGTGCCTCGAGATCTTGATCACAACTGGTTTCGGGGAGAACACATCACCAATAGCGAAAGCTAAAGCTGCTTCTGCCGACCTGCGACACCTGTGGAGCCGTCACGATATCCGATGATCCCTAAGGGAAGAGTGCACATTTCCGTGGTACGTAGTGCTCTCCTTTACGATTGTGAGATCTGGTTCTTCCGCTTTGAAGACTTTCTATCGACTTTCTCTAATCGACCACTGATGCCTCCGAAGCATCGATCGTGTCTGGTGGGATCATCGAGTGAGCAATGACGAGATTAATTTGTTTGTTGGGCGTGGCCAGCCGTTCTCCTAATGAAGCAATCGCTCTTCACCGACTCCGGTGGTTTGGTCATGTTTTGCGTATCGTCTTTCTTACGAGTTATTTTTGCACGTGCTATCAAAGTCTTGAAGAAGCACCTTCACGGGCAGATTATGACATAGCGAATAGGTATGAAGAGACTAGACCTTGCTTTGGCTTCAGTTGAACAATCAGACTTTCACGTCGGGGCCTAAGGGATGAGGACGCTAAGAGACACGGTCCAGATTACGAGTGTTATGAATGCTGTAAGGTCTGCCTGTTGAAATCCCGTCCCCTCAAAAAAGAACAATAAATTAAAATAAAATATAAGAAAACGTATACGGTGAAATGAAGTGTTATTCTTGTAACCCACCATGTGTGTCCCTCATCCCACTGTTTGATATCCTAACCCTCTCATTCTCTGTCACTATTGTTGTTGGGCTTGCACCATGCTTTTTGTAAGCTAGTGACATATATATGCCTTAAAAAGCTTCAGTATGATCGGAGGTGGGTGTCTAGGGTTGCAGCTGGTCACCTTTCCCTTGTACCTCGCAAAATACTCCAATACGACCGAGCGTCTCAATTGACCTGTGCTGAGGAAGCCCTCTGTCTCACTGCCTTCTCGTGGCGGAAGTGTTTTCCCACCCAAGTGAGAGGACGAAAAGCCGACATCCGGGGCTATAACTGGGCTGGTGAACCACTGGTAGTTCACCTAGGGTAGTTGGTCAAAAACCATCAAACCAAACCAACCAAGAGGTGGTGTAAGAGCCACATGCACAACATCCTGGTTGTGGCATGGTCACCGGCTTAAGTGTGCATCAAGGTGTTTTGGGACGTTTGACCCAGTCCAATGGGCGTGTGATCCGATGAACTGGACACCGGCCCGCAACGGATTGCGGCTTTTACACGCTGCTCCGGTACCTTGCGGGTCAGACTTTGGCTAGCAGAAGGCTCCGGTTGCGGATTCCTCAAGAAAATTCACCTGCCTTGGCCTGGGCAACCTGGCAGTATTCTGCTACAAACCAATCATGGAGCGTTTTTTTTCTATAAAGATTACTGTACCATGATTTGTTTGACGCAGACTCAGACGAGCGATATATATATATATACATATATATATATATACATATATATACATATATATATGGAACGCTTAGCGTTCGGGCTTAAAAGTTGAAGAAAACAACCCATCCAGTCCAGAGGCTTTTTACCTTTTGATATACTTCACCTCTCGAATGACTTCCATTTTTAAAAGATAACGGATGTTAAGTACCCACCAGAGAACAAGATAGGCAAATTTGTCACAGAACGGTTAGGAGAAACTGACGAAAGTTATAGGGTAATCCCAAAACAGGACATGGAGCTTCAATTAGGGTTCCATTGGTACGACTGAAAGAACAAATCATAGTAGAATGTCATCAATCAAGTCTACAAAATCAAATTTCCTACGATAAGATTTCCTGATGCAAAGAAGTAAAAAGCACATAACAATAAAGTATGCGATTACAGTTAAGGATAAGAAAGAATTGGCATTTTTTCGAAAAAAAATTAAAACATTACTTGAAATCATTGATCAAACAGGTGCTGAATTTATCATAAAAGGAGTCCTCTAGGATCAGCGTAGTTACGGTTCTTATATTGGCGAATGCCTCTTGTGCAATACGCATGGTTTTTGTATCCTTGTTCCCACCGGACGATCCTGACATGCGTCGAACCTATCAAGGGAAAGTGTACACGGACGGATGAATTTTTCTCGGGTAAACAACAATGATATTCAGTCAACAGAATCGAGTGTCTGTCACTGCACATCAATAACATGAAATGAATTGAAGATGATTCAATCTGGACATTCAACTTACCTGCGCCACTCCACTTAGCACAATGAATGGATAAAAGGCCAGGAAGAGTAAAGTTAGCTGCCAGGAGTATACGAATGCAATAACCAACGAGACCACTGTCAAAACAATGGCCTCCATGATGATACCCAGTTGGGAGCCGGAAATATAGCGCAGCTTAGATACGTCGGTAGCCAGTTTAGCTGTTAATGCACCGGGCTGGTTTTCGGGCATGTCGAACCATCCAATTTCCTAAATGCAAAATAATGACATAAAACAATCAGATGGGAACCAGGATACAAGATACGACAGTCTGATTGATTTCTCATCGTGACCGACCAATGCGTTTAGAGTAAAGCGCAAGAAAGAACAATAAATCAGATCTTTTGGAACAGTATTCCCCGTTGTGTTTGACGAGATCATGACACGCTAGAAGACTTTGCCAGCCGTAATATAATACATATCATTGTTCTACAACAGCATGGGCTAATCCAAGCTTGATACTATAAATCAATTCAGCCATTTACACAAGGTGATGACCGTCGACTGTGTAGCTCAGGGGTGAGGGTTTGAAGTCCCGACCCGAATGTTTGCGATTCAAGTCCTGACAGGGGCAAAAAAAGTACGCACTGCTGACGAGTCCCAAACAGGACGAAACAGCTGCCCAGTGCTCTTTGTCGGTTATCACCAACATTTCTATGGAATTTGAGTGTTTAATGTCCCTAAAAGGAATCAATGACCAAAACCAATAAACAAAACGCAATATTTTCAGTTTGTCATTTGTTTGTTGTCATAAAACGAAATCGCTGGGAAACAGAAAAAACACATACTTGTCGCAGCATTGCTTCAAAATATAACGTTCGCATTCTTCGCGTCAGTCTCTCACCGGATATTCCAAAAAAGTAATTCTGAAAAACAGTGAATCATGCATTAATTTCGAAAATTAGTTATGGAAATTCCATTCCATGAGGGATGTACACCAACAATGTTTGATCCGTGACCGAACGTATGACGCACCAAAAAGAAACATCGCAATAGAATCAAGGTCATATGTGGGGGAAACATCAATTTTTACTTTATGTGAAGAAATAGTTAGAAGAAAAAACACAATGGTTGTTATAGGTTAGGTGAAGCAATTAGTAGAAAAACGCGTCTGATCGCGTATACGAGGCCAGTTATTCTTCCTTACCAATAGGAAATTAGCGAAAAATTGTATAAAACCGACCAAGGCCATCATTCCACAAACGAGGTTTATTTTGTTTCTTCTGGTGCTTCCTTGCAAAGGAAATATCTAATGAGAAATCAGTTGCGGAAATATCAAAAAGGAAAGTTACTTCAAGTTGAAGCCAAAACGTGTAAGTAGTATGAAGTTGATGAAAATTCATCAAATCAAAGCCAAATAAATTGTGCCTATTCGTGTTGGTTCATCTTCTCTAGTTTCGAGTTTACATTCATTTTCACTGTTCTCTTCTAAACTCCGTAAGCCCATGTAATAACATTTGATTAAACAGAAGACATATTCACCCCTCCCCCCCTGATCTTTTATCGTGAGAACAGGGCGTGAAAAAGATGCCACTGTTCACAATTTATCATTACAGTGAACTCACACTGTACACTTCTGAATACAAAACCGCGAAGCACGGTTGTGCGGCTCCAGCAATAATGCATGCAAAGCATCCGGCAACGATGTAAATTGTCTCCGGTTTGTTTATTTTCAAAATTCTCCTAATCGGGTTGTTCCGCAGCTTCGAACACTGCAGGTAAAAATAATAAAGAAGGGGATTCAGTGATTCAGTTGAACAAAACATATCAAAAAGCTTGGTTTCACAGTAAAGTATGTTACGGATAAATAAACATATCAGCTGCCTAGTAGATAGTATATTTATTTGTATACATGTCGCTCACGAGCAATTTTATTCAAATTGTTCACTGAATTTATTAGAAAAGCTTTTGACTTACGCGTGCCTTCATTCGTTGTGACATAATGCTTATTCGTTGACCAAAAGTCAAATCGGAAGCAATGGTTTCCGAAAGAAGCTGAAAAATGCCGAGAAGGGTAGATGAACAGTATTAGAAATAAATAAACTATGCACTAAAATAAATAGTTATTGAAGCCTTTCCATCGTTCCAGGAGAATGTCACATGTCGCACAAAAACCATTAAAAGTCTACTGAGATATTTGAAAAGAGATTTGTACAGTTGATTTGGAAATTTCTGACGAGCTCTCATAAGGTAGGTTTCAGTTTCAGTTTTTACAACCATAAACCATACAATTTTAGGCACTGGTTATGATTGCCGTCCTTTGGTTGCCCATTTGGATAAAAAAATAGAATGAAGATTGAAATGTTCAGAGCGCACTCTAGCGGAATATAATGAATTTATGTAGACTGATGTTACAAAACTAATGAGTAGATGCATGAGCACAGCCATTTGCGGTACCCAGCCATATCGCTCAGTGTCTCTAACCACCGTTGACCATGATCTTGCGGTCCTCATCCAGGGAGCCTAACGGGACCCATGTGACCCAGTCTCTTGGTTAAGGTCTTCACACTCGTGCCAGGTTCTAGTTTGACCGCCTCGACCATTTTCCAATCGCTACCTGCCTCGACAAACATCGCTTGCCGTGGAAATCTGTCTGGTGACATGCGTAACACATGTCTCAACCAGCGTAATCTATGAAGGTGGACTACTTGCTCCGTTGGACGACCGCGAATACCCTAAACTCTACGCCTGATCTCAGTAATGCTCGTCTGGTTGCCCCGCCAGACTAATGCAGTGAGACGTAGACAGCGGTGTTTGAACACCGACAATCCATTTGTATCTTGTTCTCGCAGCGGATAAGCCTCCGCTGCGTAAAGCACCACTGGCCAAACTGCAGCAGCATATTTTCGGCCCTTCACAGACAGCTGAATGTTGCGACGGCGCCACAGATATATTAAGTTTGAAAATGCCAAGCGAGCCTCTTGTATTCGCGTCGACACTCCATCTGCCATGCATCCGCCAGGTGAGATAGTGTCCCATCTGTGCTTGCAACATGATGATGAAAAAAAACAAAGTTAACTGAGGTTACATTGACGGGAAAAATCCCTTTTAGGTGAACCCTCAGTAGATTGGGTCAATTCTGGTGGAGTAACCGGTCGAGCAATGCTGAGGTTGGGCGCAGAATATTACGTAAATGCGATCGCCCACTGGAGCAAGTGATCTCCATAGATTACTTTGACGGGGCATGTGTTACGCATGTCACCAGATAGGTTACCACGGCGAGCGATGTTCGCCGAGGCAGGTAGTGGGTGGAATGAGGTCAAGGGTGGTCAAGCTAATGAAGGTATGAAAACCCTAACCAGGAGTCTGGGTCACATAGGTCCCGTTAAGATCCCTGGATGGGGACCTCGGGATGATCATACCCATTGGTGTCGTTTTGTACAGCATCTGCTTTTTCACAGAGACAGTAAACGAAAAAAGCCTAATGCATTTAAATTTATTTATTTCAGTGCCCGGTTTGTAGCTTGATTATCTACTTTTGAGAACAGGTTCTTTTAAATGAAATCCGTGGTTTGATCAGCATAATTATTTACAGAGTAGAAGTTGTAGTTATTGGTGTTAAGCTCTTCTGTCTGGTCACTTCATTCGTTCTACACCTGTTTAGCATTATATGTAGAGAGCACGGTCAACAAGGATGTTTTGTAAGCGGGTATTTCGAATACCTGAAAAAGAAGACGTTCATGAATACACAATCACAAAGTTAATCAAGTTGAAAACATTAGAAAAGTTGTTTTGGTGTGGGATGGCACAGCTTCACCTTCACGTTTACGACAAATGAAAGATGCTTAAATTGAAACATCTAGTACTGTTTGTCATCAAGATAGTGTAACTAATTCACTTGCCAACCAGAGAATTATTTGACCCTGTTTACTGTGGTGAGCATTATTCATTGTGTTACGTCAAGTTATGTTGCTCACTGGTTTATTTCATTGGTCTACAATTGCAGATCTTACAAAATTTCAGTTTGACACTGAAAAGTGGACAAACAGTGGCTTTGGTTGGGCCCAGTGGTTCGGGAAAGAGTACAATTGTGCATATGTTGCAACGGTTTTATGATCCCGCAGAAGGAAACGTAAGTTATTTTGATCACTTGCTCGGGTTTATTTATTTGTTGTCCATTTTTGGGATGGGTCAAGCTGTTCTCAGAGGCTATTGGGCCTACAGCACTTATTTTTTTAGGAGAGAAGTGGTCTGTACATTTTGGAATTGAAAGATAAATGTTTAGCCATGTTTGAATAACTTAAGTAAGTGACGGATACGTTGGTTGATCTAAATTCGGTAAAGTAAACAAAAGTAATATGCTTGAAGTGAACCAGATTATGTTGACTTTCTTCGACTGGGTGAAGAGTAACCCTTGATTAACCCCTACTCGGCGGGTATGCTAATACAGAGTTGTTGGGGGTCGGTCGACAATAGAAAACAGAAAATGAATTAGAACAATTCCGCGTTGAAAAGTGAATAAACCAGATCCGTTTCTGTTCCATATCGTACATGGCAAATCTAAATACAAACCGTATTATAAAGTAAGTTATACACAAAAATGAGATTCATCCTCGTTTTTACAAAGTAAGAATATCAGCTTAAACCGGTATGAAACAATACGGTCTTAAAATGCTACTTACGATTACCTCTACAATTTTAAAGGAATGCCTTTTCGCTTATGATTCTCAGTAGCCTATTTACGAGAGGTAACTATAGTGGTATACTTAATGAATTGCCATATTTTACCTGATGAAAGTTTTATTACTCACTACATCTGAAAAATGAAATAAAATTGATTCATTTATTATTAACATTTATTTTGATAATCATTTCTCGTTTATTCTATTCGTAGATCTATATTGAGGGCGTAAATATTCGCGATTTGAATCTGAAGGCGTACCGAGAACAGCTGGGTTGTGTGCAACAGGAACCGATTTTATTCGAGGGGACGGTGGCTGAAAATATTCGAATGGGTAAATTGGACGCAACACAAGAGGAAATTGAAGAAGCCGCGAGGCAAGCCAATGCGCACGAATTTATTACAAGGCTGCCGGAGGTAAGCCAATAAGAAATCAGTGCGAAAAACAATATGCCGAAGCTCATCAACAGTTAGAGACAGATACAGTTATTCAACTCTTTGTTTACTTATTGGTTGTCTTGAGTTTCGAAAAATAACGGTAAGCAAAACTTGATCATTCATCCAACACCAATCTTTCACAGGTAGAACGCAAGCATATCACCCGTTCGGCCACCCGCATCTGGTCGGCTGTTCCTCATTTTTAATATACACGCTATTGCACAGTCCATAATTGCGTGCTTTTTGCAGGCAATGGACGGGTCTCATCTCAGCACTAACCATCAAGGGTTCGACTCAATTGAAAACTGCTGGAAACAACTGTCAAATGCTTCCTAGCTTTTCACCCCACGCCTCAGTTACACGACGAATTCATCAACTAATCAACTCAATTCCACCATTGCTCACATAATAAGGTTATTCTTTTGTGATTTGTTTGACACAGTCTAGACTCAGACAGGCGTATTGTAGTATTATGAATGGAGTTCGAAATATAGTTCTGTAATTCGTGCAGTGCCAATTTCCAAAAATGAAACAACTCTGAACGCAATAAAGCAAATGATTTGTCCAAATTGTTTGCGCTACGTAATTCAATGCATTAAGTGTACAATGATTTTATCGAGGTCAGTTCTGTAATCCAGACCGGGCTTCGCATTCAATCGTTCAGACCTTTGTACTGTTCGCTCATTCATAGATAGTTTTTCCGTAGCGGTTTGCTGTTCGATATTCTGTTCATTAGTCGTATCGGATTGCTTATGATAAGAATCAGAGTTCATCATGAAGTGAAACTGACTGACTTGGAGTGTCAAAACAATTTCGATCCACATATCTTCTGTGTACAGACAAATCATTCTTGTCGAGCAGATGAAGGATTCTGTGACCTAAAGACTTTAGGACAATTCCTGAAGAGGTTCATAGGTCATTACCACGGAAAAATTTAATTTCAGAGAAAGTTTAGCGGGTGTTTCTTTCGTGAAAAAATGAACAGATTTACAATATTGTAAAAGAAATAGGTCAGCATCTCTCTCAAGTTCAAAAAATGTGAATGGGTTCAGAGCAGTATTAGCACTTTCAAGTGTTCTGATAAAAGTCCTTGCTTGACCATCAGAGTAGGGATGTCTGAGAGCAGTGAAAAAATGTTCGTATCCAGTGTTACGCAACCGTCCTGAAACACTTTTCGCGGAGAAGCGACTACCATTATTAGTAACAAGGACATCAGAAATACTCTCCCGGCTGAAAAATTTACCCTAGGAATGAATTGCAAAATCTGATATGGATGACCTGGTGAAAAATACCTCTGACCAATTAGAGTAGGAGTTTAATGAGAACAGGAGCATACATTCCATTGATAAATGGACCACAATAATCAGCATGGACACATTACCAGGCCTCAGTTGAAATAGACCACGGAACCCAATTGAGTGTCGACTGTCGAGCTTTCTGGTAGCACTTAGAGCATCCGTTTGCTTCGGAACATATGTCGGCATCCATGTTCACCCACCAATATGTTAACCTAGAAAATGACTTCATCTTTTCTGTCCCAAGATGGCCGAAATGTACACAACGTCGGTAGCATAACAACTCTGTCAGTCAAAAACAGCAAGCCATCATGCGTAATCGAAAGTGCATCATGTCTAGCATAGTGTGATGGAAAATGCCTTCGAGTCTGTGCATTTCAACCCTTCTTCAAGGCAGCCATCACAGTGGAGAAATAATGACGTGTGTCACGAATAAGTTCCTGACGGATCATAGAGAGAGGTTGTATCAGTAGTGAATCAGACATGTCTTCTGAATCACAAACTGGTAGCGATTGATGCGAAATGTAATCCATGTGTTGGATGTGCTTACCGCTGCGATGTTTTGTTTTGTCTTAACGTCAACCTTTACAGATACGGCGCCAAAATAACCATGGGTTCACGAAAAATGTGGGTACATAAGCGGGGAAAACAAAACAGTCAACTTGGGGGAATAACAATGTTTTGTTTATTCACTGCACGCCATTTTTCGTTTTTTTTTTTAATTTTTGGGATTGCACACAGGAAAAGATGCATTCACGCTACTGACTTCGGTTCAATACCATGCNTACCATGCCCTGCAGTGTCCCCAGCCAAAGACAGTCTGAATCTTCGGAGCCCAACCGGGGAGCTGGGAAGCCCCAACGGAGGCCACATCAGCGCACAATCTCTTTAACCCGCTGCTCAGCGCAATATTCTCCCTACCTCGTTGTTTCTTCCAGCCTAACCGATGCCTGCAAATAGTGCACGGTGTGTCAGACGTAGCTCAGGTATTCTTAGGACGTACCCTAACCACCTGAGACGATGTTGTAAAATTATTTGCTCAACGGAAGATTATCCGGTCCTAGCACTCGTCGTCTGACTTCATCGTTATTCCGGCGATGCTCGCATCATACGCAGGCGATGTTGCGCAGACAACGGTTGTCGGAGACGGATAGTAGTTGGACATGATTTGCTTGGCACTGCGACATTCAATTGTGTAGTCAAATGCACTGAGTG